TAACATGAAATTGATGAATTTGATTGTTATAGCCAAAGCGGCTAAGTCAATAATTTAATTTCATTTAAAACTTTTGATTTAGAGTTTAACGATCAATTAATTTTGACATTTCCCGAGCGACATAAATGACAAAAGCTTCAACATGGATTCATCAAATGCTCTTTTACAATTCTTTTTCTAATACTAGGTAGAAGCTAATTCCATAAAGATGAATGAAATGAATATCAAAAGATTCTTGATGGATCCATGCTGAAGCTTTTGTAATTTGGACCATTCTGATTTAATTCAGAACTGACACTTGATGTCATATTTTAACAAAAAAAAAATAATTAATTGATTGATTATCATAGCTATTCATTTGCAGCGATTATGAGGGATAATGGTAGCAGCACTTTGAAAATATAGACATGAAACATGCCTTTTCAAAGTTCGTCTTTGTTTTCATAAAATTATTAAATTGGATGGTAAAATTTCAATTTTCAAAAATAATTTAAGAATCGAGCAAGGGTGCGGAACTGATTAAAATTATCAAAATCTGAATTTTCAGCTTCGCACCATTGGAATTGCGTGTAAATTTAAGATAATAAACCACAAGTGTAGAATTCATCAAGAATAATGTTGATTTATGAATTATCAATAATTATTAAACTCATCCAAATTTTCTGATCTTAAAGTTAACAGATGTGGCAAATCTACCGAAAAAGTGATACGCAATCTTGAAATGTCGAAACGAGTAATTCTTCTAACGTAAATTTTTGTTGACGTCATTTCAAATTTTAAAATGTGCTCAACTTATTGAGTAATTAGATTTAAAATTCATTCAAATTGTGTTTCTTTTTTCGAATTATTTACGATGTAGATTTAAAAACTTTGCTTTAAAGCAATGTGATTTTAAATTGTAAATGAAGCATTTATGAACCAGTTCCTTGAGAAATAGATTTTAGGAAACATTATCTACGATTTGGATTTCTTGGGTTAGGTTTTCTTAAGAAATAAGCGTTAAAAAGTCAGGTGCCCAAAATGTTAAATTATTTGTGACTTAGTTGCAGTAAGTGCGTTGTATCATAAGGTTTATATTGTCAACTAAGAAGTACCCTAATTAATAATGAAATCTCGTCATCATTTTCATCAGCACCCACCGCTGTTATATACATGCTTCATTTCATAATTTATAGCATACAAAAAAATTAAATATTCACTAACGGAACAACGAGCCCACCGATTGTGTCCCCAAAAAAAAAACTCAATTGAAATAAAAAAACCATTTCTTCATACTAGACATTAAAATGCTCATAAATGTAAGGTTGAGAAAGAAAGAGAATGCCGGATTTTCCACAGAATTTCTTTAATGCTTTTACGTTTTTGTCTTATTTCGCAAATGTTAAAATTACATTGAGAGCATCGTCGTTGGGATTTACAGAAAAGAAAAAAATGATTCATGCACATACATACTTAATGTGTGTTTATTATTGCCTTAAATCCGTTGCCTACATTTATCTTGATTACATAATAATTTCGCACAGACAAGAAAGAAAGAAAAAACCACTGCTCAGCTGCTCATGGCTGACTTTTTTTACTCTCACTTTCGTTGGTAGAAGAACTGAACAGATTCAATGATAGTAAACAACACAATAGTGCAAAAGAGAGTAAGATAGATTTTGAGTAGTTTCGTCGCTCTTCAAGAACTGAACACCTTGAGACGTAATTTATATGTATATACAGTCATAGCACATTAACCAATATACTATGAGTATAGTCGCTATAGTTTTTGGGTTTTTCATGAAGCTTGTGCAAGCAGTTCAATAGCCGTATGCCGTGTTGTTTTGCCGCGAATATAAAAACGTTTCATGAAGTGCAGTAGGTCGTTAGTCGATTGAAGATTTTGGTACAGTTTAGTTTGCAGTCAGTGAAAATAAAAAGAAAGAGTATGTAACATTTATATTTAAATATTGTGACACTATAAGCATTATCTAATAAGGCACAAGTGAAGGAAAGAAAGAAAATTACTTATTCATAGCTTAATACCGCTAGTTAATTAGCTTTATATCTTTTGTGCTGTTTCAATTATCAATTGTGTTATCGTATAAATTAACGGATATGTTACTAAGTATAAATTAACATTAGTAATGAATCATGAAAGTAGGTGGAGGCATTTTTGAAAAGAACAGTGAGAACAATAAGAAGACTCTAGAAAGTGATCGAATAATTTAAAGCTCAATCAACAAGTGTTATGCTGTATTGTTTAATTTCTTGACGTTTCCGGCAATTTTTATAGATTGATTCTTCACCTCAATTTTTCGTGGCTCAAGAAATTTTTTTCACTCTCTCTCATTTGTTTTTATAGTCGTTGTCTTTACTTCTTCCTGGTAATTATGCTAGCACGAGCATGAAAATTAAGAACCGTGAATATTTCGACCAGAATTGGTGGTTTGTCTTTTTGTCATAGCTTGAAGTAGTAAATGTGGCATAAGAAGCTAAATTTCTTATACTAGGAGTCAAATTGTACCTCCTTCCCGAAATTTGATTCAATTGGTGCTTCATCATGTTTTTGGTTTATGTCTACAGTGTAATGTCAATAGTTCAAATTTATGGAATTGAGTCATAGATCGGTTTTCTGGTAAGAATCAAACCCAGAAGCACAGAGGTCTTACTTGGTAAAGACATAAGTCTATACTTCATATTCTAACTGCTCTTGGACCATAATATACAATAGTTGCGAGTGCATTGACTTCTAGTGGACATAAAGATCTATAGCTCAGATGAGGAGTCCAAAATTGCATGACACTTTCAATAATATAATCTTAGGGATTAACCTAGACAGCCCTTACCAATTTTAACAAAAGATGAACCATAAATTCCAGCACCCAACGCATCAACTTAATTCAGTAGTTTCCCAAAAACACACAACAAAATCGTTCACACTCATCATGTCATTTTCACAGTTTAATCGACTCATTTTTTAATGCCTAGTAATAAAGCCACACAACTTTTTAACGAATTTTTCACTTCGATGACAGCGATAGAAAAATAAATTTATGAATCAGTGAATATACCCATCAATCACACACGAAAGATGTATTACGATGTAACAAAAGATACATCAACACTTGAAACTCATTAAATTTATGTCGGTCGATTTACGATACTTTTGTATGCAAACAAAATCACCCGAATTCCATTGTGTATTCTTTTTTTGGCTGATATTACCATGTTTTGGCATGTTTGGTATATAATATGAAGGAACAAGTGTATGCCAAAATTTAACTCATTTCTCTAATGTAAATTCACATATTAATTATTCATGAGATTGAAAAATAAACATACAAAAAATATAATTGGACATAAATTTGAAAAAAAAATGTTGAGAATAAAATTTGCTCATAATTCTTACACAAATTGTTTGTTTCAAGAACAAGAAGTTTCCATTCAACAATAAGAATGGAATATTTTTTTTCTCATAATTTAATAAATTAAATTTTTTAAGAGGCTCTGACATGCTGAAATGTTCAATTATAATTTATGAGATTTTAGGGGGTTGGAGGTTCTTAGAAACTAGAAGCTGAATAGTCCCTTTGAGAATCAAACTTAGTCGAGGTTCTGGATCTCTCATAATTGTGTATTCTCATCCCAAAAATTCTCCCCAAAATAACTTTTTAGTAAGGATACAATGAGCAACCATTACCACCAGATTCTTGCCTTCCTTTTAACACAACAGATGTGAAAAATGACCCATAAATTTTATATTAGCATTCAATCAATACTTTAAAGTCATTAAATGTCTTCTTCTTTTTTGTCAAGAATGAATGATTTTATCTCGTGCGGCAAAACCAATTTCATTCTGATTAAAAGTCCGTCAAAGACAAGCTAGCAAATAATTAAAGTCAAAAGATGGAAAATCAATTAATGGACTTCTTTTTCCATTTTCATTAGAATGTATATAAATCTATTAATAATAATTTCAAACCAATCGACACTTACTTGCACTTCATTTACGCTCTTATGAATTAAGCACAATTGCTGAAGCTAGAATAAAATGAAAGAAAGTATAAATGATGTCTACATGTTCATCATCATGCTCTTAAATTGAGTGTACGTGGATAAAAATGCATAAAAATTCTACTGTACTGAATACACATGATCATTTGCAGCATAAAATCGCAGAAAAAAAGAGAAATGGATGGGTATACACGTGAAGACAACAGTTAGACTTATTCTCGTCTGTGTGCTTACTTCCTACAAGAGAAGAAAAATGTGAAAGTAGAAAATTTAATGGGAATAAGTGGCTAAGGCGCATTTGAATGGCTTGTCAAGTTGAAGTTGGAATTCTAGTTCAAGTAAAATTTCGAATAAGGTAGATTTCAAAGTCTTGGGTGAATAGAGAAATTAAAGATCTGAAGCTTGTAGCTTAAGCAAGTCTTAAGTTTTAAACTAGTGATCTTAGTAGCTCAAGCTTACCCTAGTAACTCTAGCCAACTCTAGCTCTAGTCAAACTTAGTAGCTTTTGCTGAACCTAGTAACTCTAGCTAACCCTTATAAATCCAGTAAGTCTAGTGAAATCTTAGTAGCTTCAGTAATACTAAGATATATCAAGCAACTAGCTACTAAATGAAAATATTTAAATGTCTTGAATGCCAATTTCAATGTGACTTTGATAAATTTTTAAGGCATTTATAGCTAAAAGCACCCAAAGTTTAAACACTATCTTCAGTAAATTCCTCAGTCCCTTTTTCGATTTCAAGCTTTAATACTTTTTTTTATATCAAACCCATCAATTCAGTCAGCCGTACAAAGTTAAACCAATCATGACAACAATTTTGATCTGTTGCACGAGCTTAGTGAATAAAAATAAAGCTGAATGTTATTCAACAACACATAACACATTTCATTCCTCTCTCATTTCTCCCATAAGACCGCAAAACAAAGCTTTGCGAAAAAAGAGAGTTGGTACCAAAGAAAAGAAAGATATTGGCATGAACGTACTGAGTCACTTATTTTCATTTTAAAAACAGTTTTCAATACAGAGCGTACAGTCTATCGTGATCTTTTATGAGGGCGTACGTAAAAGTCAATATATGTATACTAAAAATAAGAAATTCAGCAAAATTATTTAAAGCAAAGTCAGTGGAATATTAGAGATTTTTATGGTGCAATCAAAAGCATGTATATTTTATGATTATGATTCTCATTTGCATAATTTTAGATGGATACTGTAATAAAATGTGCTATTCTACTCGTCTATCTCATACTGTGCGCAAACGGTTTAAAATTTGACGATAAAGTTGAGGAAAAATATGTGGAGCAGCAACAACAGCAGCAAAACTTCTCTGAACCACAGATTGAAGGCCGACAAAGTGCAAGACATCTCCTTGATTTCATCGGACTTGGAACAGGAAATAACATTGATCCATATTTGAGGAGAATGAATGAAAATTGTCTTAAAGGCGAACTTTCTGAATGCTTCAAATCACAAGCCCTAAATTCAGTTGATGAGATTTTCTACCGTGATGCCTATGTGTAAGTATCATGAAAATAATAAAAATAAATTTGACACTTTTTTCATCCCATTGTTCACATCACATTGACACGGTGATTTAACAAGTTTGATAACACAGCATTTGGAATGTTGGGTCGAGAAAAGTTTCTTCCTTTTTAAAGCTTTTCTTTATAGCTGCGACAGTGTTGTTATAAGCTTTGTGGTATCAAGATAATTTGGTGCTGCCTGGTCTTGAGTGATATGAGTTAAGAAGGCAATGTATGTGTCATGAAGAGAACATGCTCAATTTTTTTATCGTGTCTATAAGGATTAGAGTTTTGGGGGAGGTAACCTTTATATTTTCTAGCTTGAGGCTTGAATTTATCTCAACAAGATACATCCAAAAAATAGCATTACTTCCTCCTACACATAATCTATCACATTCATGATATTTTACACTCAATTGAGTCTCAACTCTGCCTTAAAGTTTTCAATCATAAGAAAAATCATTCAAGTTGATTTTGGAGGCTATTCATGTGTGACGTCTTTCAAAATATGAAAAAATTTTAACTTACTTCCCTGAAAATTGTCAAATTAAAACTTACTATTGCCCCTAATTGACACAAACTTTTAGAACTTCCCCTCTCTACTTTATAAATTGAAGACATCATTGATAAATGTTCCCTTTATTTGATATGGGACATTTTTAGAGTTAGGAAGTCTTCGAAGCTATTAAAGTTAAAACAAAATTTATTTCTGAATTCAGCTGCAAAGGAGGTGGAAAACCAAATTATATCATATCCTTCATACACATAATAACCCATAACCCAGATTAATAAATCCTTCAGCTTTTAGCAAATAAAAAAACAATTTTGAAGAAAATGCTTACATTCCATTTCCGTTTCATTTCATATGATTGATTTAAACCTATCCATAAAATAAAGCAATGTAGAGCATTCGATAAATATGGCACTAGAAATTAATCTTTCCATTTCATTCCTATCCGAAAAAAATGTATTTTAGATTGACACCACATGTGAGAGTATTACGTGTTCCCGAAACCCAAGTACGGTCACTCGAATATGAGCCATACGAATTCACATATGAGGCAAGAGAAATCTCAGAGAATTCAGACTGGAACGAACTTATTCAATTTGGTCTGCGTAAAATTGAGAGATTCATTAAGTCTAACGTGATAGAAATATCAATACCCGATGCATTGACGGAGGGTGGTCGATATGCTCCACAGGCACGCTTTGTTGATGAAATATCTGATGAACTTGATGTAATTGAGGACAAAAAGGCACCACTTTTCTGTGAGTATAAATATTATTGAATAATTTATAGAGCGCATTTATTCAAAGCCTTAATTATTTTTTCCAGTCAAGCATAAACTCAAGAAAATGTTTATTCCAATGTTGATCATCTTGAAGCTCTTCAAGTTGAAGTTGCTTCTGTTTTTGCCATTCATCCTCGGATTGACTGGTTTGAAGAAAATTTTGGGATTAGGTGCATTAGTCATTCCAGGTAAAAGCTAAAAACATCTATGAAATTTAAATGATTTTTTATAAATATTTTATTTATCTTAAGGCATCATCGGATACTTGAAGCTTTGTCGACCCACATCAGGTTTTGGAAATCATATTTATTCAGAGGGAAATGTACCTCAATATTCATCAGCTGGCGTAGGAGCTGCCAGTTATAATCCACTATATTCAAAATATCCAACCCAACAACAGCATCATCAGCCAAGCTTTGCATCGCCGTACAATAATTATTATAGAGATGCTTCAGAAGTCAGCTCATCAAATGGGGTCAGATTCGGTGAAGATCCACAAGACTTAGCATACAGAAATCAAGAATATAGAAATAATAATAAGAACGTCTCTTAAAGACATTATTTATTGTAAACATTCATTTTAAGTCTCTTGGTGTTCCATATTTTAGAAAGTGTCGTCGTAGATTTATTTTTAGGCATATTGTAGCGATGAACTGAATTCTTATTTAAGTCATGTCCAAATAAATTATAATAAAATTAATTTAAATGAAACTTGCTTGTGCTTATTAAATAATTTGGTATGTGTAGGACTTCGTGCTTTTTAACAGGTATGATAAACGGTTCTGAATCATTCTAAGAACCAATTAACGATTGGGAATCCTTAGAAAAATTATGTCTGCAAATATTCAATTTCAAATATTTTAGGAATACGTTCAAGGATTTTACAGTCCTACGAAATAATTTACTTTAACTAGTCACGTAGTAAAATTTCGTGGAATATACCACAGTATTATCATGACAGTAGGCCGATAATTGATTCCTGTTGATAAAATTTTAGGACGATTCTGTTATTACGTAATACAATGAACCCTTTTGTGATAAATCGTCTTTAAAAAAGAAATTATAATGTTTCAACTGCCACAAATGCATCACGTAATAAATGAACGTCCCTTAGCACAGATTTTCAATCTAGTTTAAAAACTTTGTCTTATGAAGCGTGAAAATAATCTTTATTAAGTTAAAATTAATTGTTTTAATTAACTTTAAATCTTAATTATTGTTTAGCTATCATTGTACGGTGCGGTTCCTTGTCAACTACTCTCGACGAATTGATTAAGAGATTGAACTCTGATGAGGTTACAACCTGCTTTTACCACGCTGTCATAACATTCATTTGTAATTTAAATTGTATTTATTTGTAACATAGTTGTTTGCCCTTTTCATCCTTTTCATACAAAAATTCAGTCTGTTTACGAACTCAGAACAATAAACATCATTATTTTACAACACAAACCATTTAATATTTATTTAATTAAGTACAATTACAAAATACACAAAAGAGTGTTATTGTTTGTCGAACAGATATTAAGGAGCCGTTCACTTATTACGTAACGCTTTTAGGGGAGGGGGGGGGGGGGGGGGGTATAAGATTTTGTTACGGTTCATTGAACCGGGTTCAAGCAAAAGAAATTTTTTTTTCATGCAAATTTTGTTACGAGGCGGGAGAGGAGGGGGGGGGGGGGGGTTCTAAAAAGTCATTTTTTCTTGTTATGTAATAAGTGAACGCTTTTCCATCAAAGATGCTTTACTTCTAGCAAAGGCAGTTTCGCCTACATATGCTTCAATATTCTAGGCTTTATTCTACTCCGAAGTAACAACTAATTACAAATAAACAACCCATTAGAATTGTCATTCACAGCACGAGCAATAAAAATTCTTATAAATGTCAAACTTTTCAGATAAAGGAACTCAAGACTTATGCCACGTGAATCAACATATCTTGAACTTTTAATAAAATGTTAAGCAATTCTTAATTGCTCTTGTTCTTTTAACAAACAGTGAAATTTATAATTTATACTTAAACCCTCTCTGCTTACTGCACACTCAATGTATTAAATTTCGAGTGTTTAAATTTAGTAAACCAAAAAAATCTTACTTAATCTTTCACTTTTATGAATCTTATCATTGGAGACACTTGTAGCATATGATATACAATACTTTTTATTATAATCTTCGCACATGTTTGGAGATTAAGCTATCTTTAGTTGTTTGTAGAAAAATATGAAATGAATGAAATAAGGCACGTGTTCATAAAATGTCAGTTAATGTGAATGGCAAGTTGTAGGTGTTATATAGGCATGGAAGATTTAGTTTTAACTTTGAAAGGAGTTGCGGTCAGAAATTTTAAATAATTTAAAAATCATAGTCAAAAAAGCAAATCCTTATTTTAAGGTTAGAGTAGGATTGAGTTTTGACCAGGAGGAGGCGGTGTCCAGGTCCTCAATGTTTCGGGTCAGATTAGCGTTTACGTCTAATTTCTTGTGTGTAGCAACTAATGTTTTCTGCATTGACTAAGGTAGGATGCCCAAAATAGTCCTAAAATCCGGTAGCTGATGTAAACGTAAGACGGTTCTTAATAATCAAGTAAATCTTAAGCTTCTATTCCTTGATGTTAATCATCAATATCTTTTGTCATAGTAATGCATTAATATAATGTGTGACATTAAGCATAAAATTGATTGATAAAGGAAAAATCAATTGTTCATCCATTCATGCGATAAAAGCTACATAATACTGATGATAATTAGTCAATTAGCAATATTGCTCATTATAGAACATTCATGTAACAATAATATATAATAAGTCATAATCATATATCCATAAAAGACAATGAACACATATTTATAATAATATTCTCTACGGATACGCCAATCGATCGGAACGAAAACATTAAAGTAAGAAGCAGAAAAGTAAAATATTAAATAAATTCCACTTTTCATGACATTTTAGTGCTTAGAGTATCCAAAACAATGTGAACATTTCACCTAAATTCCCTAGACTGAGTTAAACTTGAACTTGTATTGTAATTGCTATTGTTCAACAATAGTCTTCAAGCTCATGCATTGTTTTCTGATGTAAAAAAGCATTTCACACTACATTAAGAATAAGCTTCAATATTCTTTTGTGCAGCATGTATGCTTCTCATCATTGAGAACGATTGAAGATGTAGTTCAACAAGTCTTTATATTTTTAAACAACTCTTTCATCCATGCGATGTGTTATGACAATGTCTATGGTTGCAGTTTATGATAAACGGAACTGCAGTTATGTTATCTTTTCATACTCTATCTCACTTTATCTTTCATCGATTTTACTTCATTTTCTCACCTTCCATTTATTCTGAGTATTCCTACACTCGTCATCATTATGTTTGCTACTTGTTGCTTTTATGCAGTTCAGCAGCAGATTCTTTCATTCAGTAAATGCAGCAATGATGTATTGTGGGGAAGGATGAGGTTCGTTCATAAATTACGTTTATGATAAAATGGGGTTTTTGGACACTCCTCAACTACATGTCATAAAAGATTCATTAAGTGTCATGCAGCTGTAAACAATCTCTTGTTCCTTAGTGATATTTGACATGATTGGTGATCAACCCCAATAAATAACTTCAATGATATGTAGTTCAACTATATACATGATTTTTATGTCGTGTGCGAACACTATTAATTCTATGTCTTTCCTCCCATTTATGCTTGTCTTTATCTAGCTTCCTAAGTGGACTACAATCTATGAATGTACTTTCTTGTAGCACGATTTCCTGTAATTGAAAAAATAAAGTTTATTTTTTTTAAACGTAGTTATAGCATTTGTAGCGTTTCTAAGTAAATATCTTAAAAATAGAAGCTATTTTTACAGCAGTAAGTTCATATTTCATAGAATTGATACAATTGTGTATTTTTTCTTTTCATATTTTAAGTTCCTAATTCAACTTAGTACTTTGTTGTGTTGCTAACAGATCCTAGATGTTCATACTCGATGAAGGGCCTAATTTCTATAAATACCCGGATCAAACTCCTCTGATGACAGTAGAATCTTAATCAAGTACCAATCAATTTTACATTCAAGGATAGATTGCCTTAGGGAGCCTTAGAAACTGGCCTTGATCAGCATTAGTTTAAATTGTTCTATTTTTAAGGAAATGCAGTTCAACTATCAACTATTCTAGATTCCAGGATTGTTATATCAGATACATATTCTAGGTTTTAGGTAAACTAGGTTAAAACTATTCTAGGTTAATAAAGCAACAATCTGTCGTAATGATTGTCCAGTCGCAAGTTGAAAATTCATCCGATTCAAGACACATTGAATGGTGCTCATGTGAACAGATTGATACTGTAAGTATCTTATTATTTTGTGAACCATGAAAAAGTATTTTGATTGAATCGAATCTTTATTCTTGGAATTTCCAATCATCGTTTTAAAAATAGAAAAAAACTTCATACTCAGCATAACATCTATAGGAAGCAATGAAAGTTTATGTAACATAATTAATTTTATGCTCATATTCATCCAATTGAAAATATTACGACTATTGAATATTAGTAGCCATAGAACTCCTTATGTAAAGTTCAATTATTAGATTGAATATAACGTGATTGTGTGAGACGTAGAAAATGTAATTCCATTTTTACAAACGAGAAAATAAATACGCAAAGTAAGAATGTGTTCTTTTTGGCATCCTTTCGATAACTTCATGACAAAGCATTTTAGGGAGGAAAAGCTTAACAGAAGCATTTTACTCAAAGCAAAAAAGGTTAAGGTTTGAAAAAATTTGAGTCACGTTATACTTGGCGATTCTAGGAATATGGTACAATGCCTTTATGAGAACATAATTTTGTGGAAATGAAGGAAACGTTTTTGTATTTCAATACGAAATAGAATTATTGATAAAAAAAATACGTCAGTTCTGATTTTTCGGTGTGATTCATTTAATAACTTTAAGCAAATGACAATAATTTCATCAGCTCTAACCAAAAACATCTCATTTTAAGATCCAGCAATTCTTCTAAACTTTTAATCCTAAAATATTATCTTCCATCCGCAAAACTCACTATTCTTCTATTCATTTGACTTCTTTATATCCAAGATAAAACTCAATGGGAATGAAAGAAAATAATGTTCAAATGAAATGAGAAGTAAAAATGCATTTCTTCTAACATTAACCTGGTTTAAAAATAGAAGTAGAAGTAAAAATGCATTGAAGAATGAGAAAGAAAGAAAGAAAGAAGAACTAAAAAGAAGTTTGCCTAAGTCAGCAAGCTAGATAAAAAGTCTTATTTTTCCCACAATTTAATGCAGAAAGTAATATAAAATCTGCAGAATGAAGAATGCACTTCATTTGCCAGTTTGCTTTCAGACTATACAGCTCATTTCTTATCCAGGTTTTCTAATTTTGTAATACAATAGTGTGGATGAGAAAGAAGTATTCATTTATACATGTGGATTGTGTGTGTAAAGTCAATATTAAATTTTGCTTTGATTTACAAAAATAAGATCAATTCCTGTTCCATAACAAAGGACTAAAAATATGAAAAAGCATCAGTTGAAATTTGTAATTTTATTACTATTTGTAATATCAATAACTGCTGAGAACGATACGGTAAGAATATTTTCAATATATTCATGAATTGGAATATCGTGAACATTTGTTATTATTATTTTGTGTATGGCATGTGGGTGTATCATATCAAGAGACATATGGTTCCTCTTCTCGATTGACATGGAAATCCTGAAAAGAGAACGACAATATACTTGACTTTGAAGCTACAGAATTACGTGGTTGTTGAGCATATGCTGAGGAATACATGTACAATAAATATTCAAAAAATTATGTTCTATTTCTGACAAAAATCTTCATCGTCTTAAGGATAATTTAAGTTAAGTTAAGTTAAGAGAGACTTTAACGGGATGTAATTTTTAAACTCACGCTTTCCAGGTTTCTTCCTCAAATAACCAATAAATACAAGAAGTTGACGCTTTTAAGTTTACATTCAGAAAAGTTGCAGTCATAAGTGAGTGGAATCTGAAGTAGGACATGTATAAAGATTACGTCACTTCAAGAATAAAGCTTCTGTTTCAAGGCAATACACATGATATATGTGTAACCTCCTTTTGCGAGGACGTGGGTTCGCTTCTTATCAGAGGCTGTTGAATTCCAAAAACTAAATAGAGTTTTAAATGCTTACGACATTACTTGTGAATAACCCCTCATTAAAAACCAACAACTACGGTCCGAGAATTCAATATTGTTGTTTGTTCGTGAGTTTACTTAAAAGTAATTGAATTTCCGTTGAAAAAATCTCTTTCGACAGTTTTACTTCCGAAAACCTGTTTATTTTTGGCAATCTTGAGTTTTTCATTTAAAATGTCTTTAAGGATTTTATGAATGTTTCATGTTTTGATTCATTCGTGAATGTCATAGAAACTATCAAAAATCTTCTCGAATGTTACAATCCATTAAGGCAATAAGTTTTATAATTAGTAAAGGTATTAGGAAATTTAACCAGAAATAAATCTCATTTCTAGAAGAAACTTAAACCAATTTTGAGATAAAATATTTTTCAAATGTTTTTCATTGGAAAATGATGCTTCGATAAACGTGTGTAAAGCCTTCGAAGCTACGTTCTGAACACACACCTGTCTTCCTAAGATGAATTTGATTATTCATGTCATCGTTAGAAATGTTATCCGTCTTGGTATTCCGCATGTTCTACAATTATGACAAATTAGATTAATTTGTTACGAAACAAATTAATTCAGAATCTTTTTAGTTTTGATGCTGTATAACAGGTGTTGACTAATTAGTCATTTAATTGATCTTGCGACAATTTCTTACACCCATGCTATTAATACAACCTTTAAAATATTTCAAAAATGTCTAATAAATAAAACATTTAATTGTAGTCATCAAAAATCCCATCCAAAGCTCAATACGAAGAGAAATTCTTAGCTAAACTTAACGCAAGATGCCAACAACAGGACAATAGTTCGTGTATTATGGCAAAGCTCCTAACATTCATGAACAAAATGATCAAGAAGCCATCGTTCACGATAAACAAGAAGCTATCTTTACTGCAAACAAGGTTAGTATGTCCATCCAGTCATAGAGTCGTTTAATATTCATTTTCTATCTTGATGCACTTAACCGGAATTAGTTCATAGAAGATAACCGCTTTAAAAGAACATTTTGTAAGTCCAGTTAGTGAACTAATGTCTCAGAACTGGTTTATTGACGATGAAAACATCTCATTACATGTTTTCTGTTTCTTGTTCCATAAACAGCTTATCATCAAAAAATGAATCTGACGTGATGTTCAATAAATTCATCCAAGCGCGCAATTTCCAATCTGATGATACAGCAATCAGCATGTTAATAGCTGATAAGTTAATAACATTCATAAAGAGTCGTGCATTGAAATGGAGGATGACTGATTTCTCAGATTTACTAGTCTCAGCAACGGAAAAAGGTCGAATTAATGTCGGACTAAGTGTTGATGCAAAGCGAGCTCTAATTGAAGGACGTGGAAAAATGAAGAACAGTGGTCCAATTATAGCTGCAGTTGTCTTAAAGGGTGCTCTTTTGGGACTTTTAGCATTTAAAGCTCTTGCTCTTCTGAGCGGTAAAGCATTGATCGTATCTAAATTGGCATTCCTTCTATCAAGCTTAATTGGCGTCAAGAAACTCTTAACTGGAAAGCAAAAGCACGTTACTTATGAGATTGTTGGGGATCATCATCGATATGATGTCCCATTTACTCAAACGCAGCAGAAGCCATTGACCCAAGCTGGAAATACACCACAGCCAAGTGTTGGAGGGTGGCAGAGAGCATTTGATGACACGCTAGATTCATTTATTGAAAATTTTGCTCAAAAGCTTGTTAAAAATCAATAATTTTGAAGATGTTATTAAGATTTAATTAAAATTGTTTTGTGTTGTATTTGAAGGAAGTTCAGGAAATTATTTTTAAAGTGGCTGCATTCATAAATGACGTTTATTGGGATTTTAATTTATTCAAACTAGCATATAATGATACACATTCAGCTGGTGGATAGGCATATGTCTAGGAGCTTAATAACCTCAGAGGCATTTCCTAAAATTGTATTGAGAGATATAATTCAGTGGTTCATGGAGCACCGATATAAAACTCTTAACTTTACCCATTTAACGACATTTATGAATGATCCCAATGCTTAATTAAAGAATTTTTATTATTCTTTAAATTTGAGCATTTTCTAATAAGTTTTAGTTGAATTTATTTTACAATTGATTTATTTTTAAGAATCTTTAAAAAATTATAAAACAAAAATCTGTACCTATATATAAATAATACTTTAATAAGTAAACTATTCAATACAATAAAATGATTTAAATTGTAACATATAGTGGGTGTAAAATGGTAAGTGATGCATAATAAATTAATTCTTAGAAAAATATGGTTTTATTCGTTTTATCTAGTTTTTGATCAATCTTTTTTAAGTACTTGAAGTTTTGAACAATCAAAATCGCAAAAATCATTCAATTTTTGATAAAAATCGATCTAATTTCCAAAATCCAAAAATATCAATTCAACAAGCCTCCTAATTGCTCGATTGATTTTGATGAAATATTCATTTCAAATCATTAAATATATTCACAAAAATATAAAATTTGTGTGAATATGAAATCAATTGTTTTAAATTTTGAAATTCTAAAATAAAGCTGCATGAAAATTTTAAAAAATATCTACAATCTATCCCCTTCCCTCTTCTTCTCCCAGTTGAAAACTACGTTCCTAAGGGACGTTCACTTATTACGTTACGCAAAAAAACTACTTTTTCACCCCCCCCCCCCCTTGTTACAATATGTTACAACTCACAACCCCCCCCCCCCCCCCCCCTAAAAACATTTAAATTTTATTCATAATTCATCATAGTTTTTCTTTATACATATTATTATTATTATTATTGTTGGACACATTTAGATATTGAATTCAATCTTTTAAATAATTAAACATTTTCCCAAATTTGTTTTAAGTGATTATCAATCGAAATCACAACCCCCCCCTCCCCTTAAAATTCGAACGTAATAAGTGAACGGCCCTTAGGCTTTTAAATAGAACTCACAAATCAAGCTTTAATTTTTCTTTTAAAAAACTTTCTCCATTAACTTTAAATCACATCATAAAATAGGTAAGTGCTTACCCCAAGTAAATGTTCTTACAAATAATTCCAATTTGTTCCTTCTCAAAAATTCATTTAATTTACCGAAAAAACCCCTAAATTAATCGCCTTACTATATTTCTAATTTCTCCATCTGTAAAAGAAAATATGCTCACCATAAAGACTTTTCATCATCAAAAAAATAGAACATCATTAGAGATTACTTAAAGTCAAGACGAAAACAAAGATTCAATCATAAATTTTTCCATTGAAAAAGGAGAATCAATAGATGATAGAAAAAGGCACAAAGAGCTTTTCTTCTTTCCATGGAAAATAAGTAGCCTAAAGGACACAAGAAAAGTATTATGCAATATATCCACAGGCGATGTGAGTGAAAAAAAATGTCAATTCAAAAGCTCAAGCACATGGAGTAATTAAATGGAAAGGATGTGTGATTATAAGAGTGGAAATAATGAGAACATTCCAAATAAATTAATTTGTGGAAATCCCATTAATGTGAATTAATCAATCTTACTTATGAATTCAATAGCATTCTTCAGAATCAATAAGTCTGCAGTCCAAGTATTTCGTTTGGAGGCATTCAATAAATAAAGGGTCGGTTACAATTTACGTCACTTTTAAAACGATTTTTTCTCTTCCTTGTCATCATATTTGAACTGAGATACATCTTCTAACCCATTCCTCCCTCCCCAATCAAAAAGGGGGAGGGGCTGAGATTTTTATCATAAAACCTCTAGCAAAATGAAAAAGTTTCTGTTGTTGGAGAGGAATTTGTCACTCACTCAAATAAGTCAACCCCCCGCCTCTTCTGGTTTGATGCTTGCTTGATCCTCTTCTGGCCTCTTCTAGTTACACACCTGGCGAGACGTAATTTGCGAACAAATTCTATCGTTTAATAAATCCGACTGGCACAAGTCGGTTAATCGAAGAGCAATCTGGTGCCAAGCTGGAATGAGTCTGGTTTGATGCTTGCTTCGATTTAAATCCAGCATCACACCGGCTTGGTGCAGGATATCTAATCGATTAACCGACTTGTGCTCTTCGGGAAAGAACAGGAATTGTGATTTATGAGCTTGTTAAGCAGGGTCAACATTATTTTGAAATATTTTATTGATTGGTGGACATCATTGATGAATGTCTCCTGTATCAACACAACATTTCCATCGAATATGTAGTCGCACAGCAGGAAGCTAAATTGATACTCATGTAGAGTCTTTTGGCTATTTTGGTAATGAATAGTATTTAATTAACTCCAAATGTTCATTTTATCATTGATTTATTTCAAGCTTTTTTTAGGTTATTTTTTTATCATTTCAGGTCCTTACAAACATAAAGTTTTCAATTTTTCATTGTTAAATAATAAATAACTTAAATAAATAACATAAGCGAGATTTCTCTCATTTTTTTCATGCCACATTTATCTATGAAATTTTATAAAGAAATTCTCATTCTAGTTCGGTTCCACTGTCCAAATTTTTTTTGTGTTTCTTTGTAAAGAATTCATAGATGATAGAAAAAAATAAGTTATGAGGCATTAAAACACAGACATAAATTAAATTTCACAAACTTATATTTTTTCACTTTTTTTTTTGATACCCGGATTCCTTTTTTTGTGTCGTCCTGTGATACAATCACGTTGCTTCTTCTTCTTATGGTTTTCTAAACAGATATGGATTTTTTCCATAGAAGTTTATCGGGGGATGTCTTGCTGCAAATAAGGAAGAGAAAAGAAAAATTGCATGTTATATGATAAAAAAAAATATAATAATATCAATCAAATGAGGTTTCGTGCGTAGGATAGAATATTGGAATTCATATATCAAAATTTTATCATCAAACATGTAAGATATGATGTGATGTCGTTATGGAACGTGAAACATGATATGATAACATTTTATGGGAAGGATAACGAGAATTCAGGATACTTTGATAGTTACTTGTTTATTCATTGGATTTTCATGTGGATTCTTGTAATTTTTTGCTGATTGCTGCATGTTTAGCATTTAAGCTCATGATTTTATATTGAAACTTTCATCGCATGATTGTCAAGACCTTAAATTACCAACTCTGGCAATAAATATTGAACGTGATACTCGAATAGCTAAAGATAATTGAGATTTGAATATGTAGAAAATAATTGGGGTTTAGGGATTGTTCTTAAATGATGTCAACTGAAATTTATTTAGCATTGTTCAGCGGCATGGCTGTAGTTTTTTCTAATGTGGGGTTAAACTTTTTGGTTTGAAAAAAATTAAGGTTAAGAGTTTAAAATCCAGCAAAATGAAGAATTTGCTTATTTGGGGAGGGAGGAAGGTTCACTTACATAAATCTAATATAAGCCCTGCTCAACAAGATCTAGAAAAATATCAAGTCGATTTTAAGCTGCGATCAAGACAATATCCCAAAAAATCTTATTTTGACGTCATTTATAAACAACCCCATTACAAGATTGAACCAAAAATAGCTTCATACTCATATCCGTCAATGAAACATATGAGAAGATTAAGAACTTCCTTATTTGCATGCTTTCGGCATTCATCAATGATGAAATATTTTACTAAATCAATATGAATCTATGCTGGGGCTGAATAATATTATGTATTGTAAGGAAACTTCTATGTCTTGAAAAATATCCTTCTTGCTGATAAACAATTCATGATAAATAAGGCAAATTTATCAATTTGTTGTCAATTGCATTTATATCGATTCTATAACTGATTATTTGGTAACCTATTGTTGGATTTCCAATGAAATTATATTGTGTGGATATGACTAATGCTTGTGTGATGCACAGTATGAAGGAAAAGGTTCAACATTTTATTGATATCACTAACTGCAGACACGTATTGATTTTGTTATTTGTTTTTCCTATTAACTAGCTTTTAGATATTAAGGCGATACACAATAAGTTAGAGAATGTGCAGATTCAAGAATTAATTTTCAAAAGCTAAGAGGTCAGAATGGAGAAAGTTCAGTACCTTGAAAAACGAAGGGGCGAGCACAAATTTTAATAACAGAATAATTTTGGACGTTGGTGATTTTAAAGAATTATTTTTTATTGACCCGAGTCGATTTCGAGCGCTTGAATAAATAAAGGAAAGAAAATTTCTGCATTGCTTAGCTATTTTTTACAACATAAAGGCACAAAGATTCTTTAAAAATCTATTTGGGATTCCTTACATATAAATATTCAGTTTCTCGTGGTAAATCAGCGCGTGTAGGCTAAATCGAAAATGTGTAACGAATAGGAACAAAAAGAAAATCTCAAATATTTGCGAAAATAAAGAAAAGATGTACGCTTGAACTAATATTAACATCCATAGACGATTTCCTTTTTTATTCTTAACTTAAAGCTATTTCCTTTCCTTTTTTTTGTTAACCCGAAAAGATTCTATTGTGCATCTAAAAAATTTCAAAGTTTGTTGTCTCATTCTGCTTTTTTGTAGACGAACCAAATGAAAAGTATGTGGGATATGATACCTTACAATTTCTTTAGAAGATTTTGTTGATGACAAATGTCAATAGAACCTTGAAAGTCAAACACAACAATTGTTTGATTTCGAAAGAAACTCTTTATATCTGATAGCTATTGTACCTTAATAAATGCTCAGAAGAATTGACAAAAATCATTTAAAAGATTTCTTTTTATATTTACTTGCACTTTGTTGTCATCGACCATCATAAAACATTTTCTAGCTGTGCTCCTGTTTGAATATTTAAAAATGAATAAATGGGGGTCGATTTCTTATGGTGGAGGTCATTTTTGGGGGTCTGTGATTAATGTCAATCCAAAAAAAGGTGTAGAACCAAACAACAGTGATCAAAACGTGATTAATCAGGAATCTAACTTTAAAAGTAAACTTAATCGGGAATATATACGATTTTGTGAATGACGTCATTAGTAAACGACTCCAAAAAGGATGACGAATAAAGTCAATGCATGATTCTCGATAAAAACAAGAACTAAAAAGCTTATAGAAAGGTTCTGTCATGACACACTAAAACAGTAATTCTCAAAGTAAGCTTCGTGAAGCGCTAATGTTCCGAGAACCAACCCTAAGCTTGCCAATAGTAAAAGCTACTGTGGCTCAAAAACATATACAATATTTTAGAGTTCAAAGACTTGAAACGTTTGAGAATCCTTGCAAATTAAAAGCTAAGAATCTAAAGGCTAAACCTACCGTAGCTCAAAATATAACTTTTTTTATGAATAGAAATTTATTCAAATTCTCATCAGCATTGAAACTTTATTGCTCTAACCTTGCGCGAAAAGTTTTGATTTGATTTTCATTTTTGTAGGAAGCAAGGAGGCTCTGTTAAATCTTAAATCATCTTTTGAACTTTTTCTTATTCTTTAAATCTATCTCATTCCTTCATTCTGAGAAAAAACTTTCTCAGATACATTTCAACCATATCATGTCGGATGTGCGAGAGATAGTAAAAAAAGAGAAAATTTTTCTTGTTCCTTCTTTTGTCTATTCTTCTCATGAAGCGAGCAGATGATGGAAAATTAAGAAGAAAGTTAAAGAGATATCGAAGTCAGTGGGATAGTAGGCAAATTGTTTTGTTGAAGGAAGATGAAAAGTAATTTTTCAGATAATTTACATCTACTCACCTACCGTGGAGTACGCACTCAATCCTGGAGCTGATGATACGATTGTTGAACTTCCGGTTCCATTTGAAACAATATTTGAGACACCGGATTCAGCTCCTAATCCACCATTAGCATGTAATGCAGCTGTGTGTTCTGGACCGATTGGAAGTTGCTGATGATAATCACCTGGGAATCCAGCTGCTCCTTGGAATGCGCCATAATCTCCGAAATTAAATGGAACCATCAATGGCTCATGGTGTTCATAATAAGGTGCAGGAATACTGGAATTATAAAAAGTTAATATGATTTTCAAGATAAAGTCATAAAGTCGTACCCGTGATGATGTAAGAAAAGTTTCTTGAATGTCATAACAGCTGCGATAACGAGAGCAATTTTCGAGACCAAGAATGCTTTAATGGAAAGAAGAGTAACACCAGCTAATGCAAGCAGCCACCAACCGACTTGTGATGCAACCAAGAATGATGGAACGAAGAATTGCATTTGCTTTCTATCACGTCGTGCACGTCCTGTGAATTATGGGAACAATTCATTTATAATGTGGTAATTTTATGGAGTTATGCATGGATAAGACACTTAAGCTTCACAGCTGCACTTACCTTCAACAATGGTCTTTGAGACAGCAACTTCGAGGTAATTTTCATGTTCTTCAGACTTTTGCACACTCAATGAATATTGTCCAAGAGGAATACGAAGAGAGTTTGTGCTTGCAATATCCCAGAACTTTGTAAATGATCGTCCTTCAATTCCTTCATTTTTTAATGGCGTAATACTAAGTAATCCAAAGTCAATTGACTTTCTCAATTTCAATGCACGAATAACTTTATTTGAGGCACTTTTAAGACATGTTGAATTTGCTATGCACGCAATATCAATATCTATATCCACATTTTGTTGATTATCCTCATGTGCTACTGGTGACGACGAGCATAATTTGATGGCGAACACTAGCACTGAGATAAATAAAACTGTTTTGCTATTCATTCTTTGGATGGGGTTTTAAGTCCTTAAGGATGTTAAATTAAATTATATTTTTAAATTGAAGTAAAATAAAATAATAAATAAATAAATATTAAGACACAATAGGCTTTAACTGTAAATTGGATGAATATATCGAAAGAACTGATAAAATTTTCATTTATGCAGTGCTTTTTTATCTTCTTTACACTTCAAGAATCATCCCCCGCTTCAAAAACACTCACTTACTTGTCTATCTTATCACTTATTGCTGTATTCCCACAAACACTTTAAAACAATGATTAGAAAATGAAAATTTTCATAGAACACGCTACACAAAATGTTTTTAAGACTTTAATTTTATTAGTTGTTGAAGAAATAGATATTAATTATAAATGTAGATACAATTAGCATGCATTATAATCTTTATCAGAGCATGCATACTCGCACAGCCTGCAAAAAAAATTGTATTTTCTATATCTGCACTAGTCCGTCTACAGAGCTCAAGCAAGAGAGAAAAACTTTCAAAAATATTTTTAAAAAACATTTTAAAACGCAATATTCGATGCATTTTTGCATTTATTTGATGATCAACAAACGATGCGAGCGTGTTAAAAACATAGCCAGAATTAACAAGTGAAATTTCCTTTCTTCAGTGAATTTTTAAATAATGTTGAAGAATTTTTTTTTTGGTTTAAGAAAAACGCTTTCGAATTAAAATTGGACTTGAAAAATAGGGATGTAACAAGGGGGGTGAGAGTTTTGGGTGGTCTTGAGCTACCTAATTGAAAATCAAAAACAATATTATATTAAAATTCTGATTGTACAAGGAACTTGGTCAAAAAATGGTATGAGTGTCGGGAGGGGGAGGGGGGGGGGGGTATTTAAATCTTATTCGTATGGACCGAAATTTTGAAAAATTTTGAAATTTCCAAAGAAGGGATTTCTGACTACACCTCTATCACAAACATTCAAGGAATTATTTTTTTTCTTTAACACATGAAAAAAAAGTTCAAAATTGTTTGAGTTTTTTGAAAAAATTGACACGCGTAAAATGAAAATTAAGACGTTAAGATGAAGATTCTATGTTCGGGTGGGAAGATGAGTGTTACTTATTTCCATGGAAACTTTAATTTAAACCTCAAAAAAAGAATTTAAGGATAATGATTTCTAAGAACTTTATTTCTCATATTTCTTTTTTTCTTCTCAGTTGAAGGTTGCAATTTCCGATGAAAAAATCGTTCCGAAGGTTATCTTTAATACCCAAGGTCATTAAACAAAGTGGGTAGATCAGAGATCGATGAGAAATTCTCAGAAATTCAGACGAAATATGTAAAGTTCTAATATGATGTTTACTTAAAATAATTGCTTTTTGAGAAGAAGGAAGTCAAATATTCAAGTCAAAAGCAGTTCAGCGTGATGTTTGTAGATTCAATTCAACCTATTTCATTAGTTTTTTTAAGATTTAATTCTCAAAAAATTCTAGGATAAAAATAATCGTTGAAGAACAATAAATTTGTCAAATTTTAATTAATTAAAATTGCGAAGGCAATAGTTCTTGTCAACTACAGAATGCTGACATTTTATTTAGACAAATACATTTTTTTGAGATGAGGACCGTTTATGTAAAGCTTGAAATAACAGGATTGCAATAATAAAGGTTGTACAGGGGTAAGGTAGGGGTGTCGTAACTTAATTCCTTTTTAATATACTTTCAAAAAATCTGGTGCCAACTCCGGATTAGCTCCGGAGTAGAAAGTCTGGAGCGACTTGAAGATTAGCCCTTTTCACATGAAATCAAATGAAAATTCCGTAAAAATACGAGTAAAATTTTAATTTGTCTTCGGGCAAAAAACTTCTTTGATATACTCCTTAGAATTCACTGATTGTCTTCTAACTGATTAAATCGTTACGAAATAAAATGATTCGATAATTAACAACATAAAACATTCCTATTTCCATTATATTAAGATACTTCAATAGTAATGTCAAGACATAATTGACATAACAACAAGCAAGACACAAAGGAGTTGAAAATAATGAGATAAATACAAAAAATAATGACAATATAATTTTCTAGAAATTTTCTTTTAATAATGTAATGTAAACTTCTTTTGTGTTGCTTCTAGATTGATCAGAACATTCCATATTGTGGAATAATTCAGTTCTGTCGAATTCAATCAGGTAAAAAGTTATGAAAAAAATGTTTTTATTTGCTTCTAGAATGTTTGGAAGTATAAAGGAAACTTGATTCAAGGTTAATTGTATGAGCTTCTGTTGATGTAGAAAAAGGCGTTGCTATTATGTATTAATGGTGTTTTCCAGGAAATGCTGAGTATGGCAGAAAAGTCATAATAAATGAGAAAAGCTGTGGGAAATCAAAAGACGGAAGCTTTTTATGTTGATTATTTTTTAATTTTTGTTTAACTGAACCAGGGACTTTGCCAGGAGGTATAGAAATAAAGGTCCTTTTAATCTATAGATTTATAGTTTGAACTATATGTTGTAGACAGCTGGAGTCGATCCCAGTCGAGTTTTTTTTTCAATTAATTTTGAGTTAATTAAGTTGGAAGTTAAGTTAATTAATCTAAAAGACCTCAGGCGACGCTTGTTCCGAACTAAACATTTAATTCAAATCATTTTAATGACTTTATCTGAATTTTCACCAATCAAACTATTCCAAAGATTTTTAACCTTATTAAGGATAAACTAACCTTGAAAATATCAATCTCAGCCTTAAGCACGGTTTATTTCCAATTAAACTTTACAACATCTGCGAAGGTGGTTAGTCATTATATGTAGCAAATTTTTCTCAAGGCAAAGGATAAAAGATTTTCAAAATCAGAACTTCATTCAAGTTTTCATTTTCAATTAATTTTTTTCTCTAGGAGTTTCAAAACAGACGTCATTCAATCGTTTCATCTTAAGTTTTTAATTAAAAATAACAAACAACATAAATCATAATTTGTTGTTCAGCGAGCGAAATTTGCTGATTTAATTTTTTTGAAGCAATCCAATTTTTTTACCTCTTGAATATAAATTTGAAATACCTGGAAATAATTTGATGATAAGCAAGAATTTTCTTGAAAATGTTCTTTTTCTTAATATTAAACATTTCCGTTTTGAAAAGTTTCTTGCAATCATTTAAGAAAAACATTTCATCTGAAATTGATGACTTGGAAATTTTGAGAGAGTTCAAGGTAAAGTTTTTTCTAGCATAATATGCAAAATGAGCATCAATTTTTGGGTATGTAAATGATAAATTAAGTTCAATTAATAATATTGGTTGAAGAGGAGGTTGAGTATGGATTTATGAGTGAAAATTTTATTTATTTTTTTCTAATTATTGGCCCAAACTTATTCGTGAATCTTCAACTTCCAAGACTGAACTGCATTAAACAGCATGTTGCACATTGAGTATATTTTAACTTAATGTTGTACAATTTAACATTTTATTTTAATTCCTTCCACGGTTTTGAAAGCTAATAGTAAGATGACGTTGATTCTAGCTATTTTGTAGACGCACTTGAAGTTTGCAGCCTATCATAAAATCGCAGCCATTTGTCAATATTCTGATAATTAGATGAGAATGTCAAACTTAGGTACAAAACTCATGGAGCCATTAAGAGCCATTGTGGATGTTGTTCAATTCCTAGGAGGCTCCTTCACGTTTCTATGATACAATATATATATCAATTCAAGTACATGCACACTTTAAAAAATTCTTCCGATTTCTTCTTTCCGAAACAAATAACTTACTCTCAATAATGCCAAGAGACGCATGAAGTATTTTTTCAAATCAAATTCAATTTTGCCTATATGCTAATGCTTTCGAGGATTTTGTTGACATCAGACTTTGTCAATAGTCTTACAATGAAGACTTTGCATATGATGTGGTGTCAGAGGTGGAACTAGACCAGTCTTTTTGATCATACAAAATATCATTAAATTGTTAGAAGTACTTACAAAAAGGCTTAAAATCTCAGATAAAGGAAAGGACAATTGCCTCACTGTCTCTTTTTATTATGCAAAAAATCAAGATTTAAAAAGAAAAATTTCCATAAGAATTTTTAATTAAATCAACAATCAAGAAAAAAGAATTTTTATCATAATTTCAAAAAAAAACAGATTACTTTCATGCATCGAGGAACATGAAGAGATATGCAAGATATTCATGCTTTTAGCAAGAAATCGAAAATAATTTCTCTTTATGAATTTTCAATTTCATCATATGTGATGCAGAACATTTGCATTTACTTGTTAAATTGCTGTTAATAATGAAAGTGAAAAATAGCTTTTTTTTTAATTTTCAATATTTCATCACTGCATATTATTATTTCCAGTACTTTTTAATTATTTATTTATTTATTGCGTTTTTATTGGCTTGTTTACTGCACGTTATGTTGTTATTGATACCTGATACATGTCAACAGGTTATTGAATTGTAATGTTATTGTAAACTTTTGATAAAGCTCAGTCCACTGACTAGAATTGTTTTTTGATAAATAATATAATAAGTCACTAATGACTTTATAGCTGTAATTAGGAGGTCAGGATCCTCAAAATAAATTAAGACGCATCATTAATGACCTAGTTTTATTTAGAAGTTTTTGATGGTCTTAAAGTAAGAGTTGAAATGGCTTTGTGGCAAAATGGTTCAATTCTTCGGTACCTAATAATTTCAAAACCTACACAAATATCATGGGTTCGATTCTTGGCCTAGGAAATTTTTCGCTTGTCCTTTTCTAAACCACATGTACTGGAAATGAAGCTGACAAACTTCCTTTGTAGACTGTAGGCAGAATTGTCATCAAATGAGTGGTTGAGATCTTACTATAAACTATTGGTAAGGCTTAGGTATGAGCGGAAAGTCTGATTGCAGTGTCTGACGAATCCTCACTCGTTAAACTCTCATTAGCTGGGAAAAGTCATAGCACACCTCTGAATCACAATTGATCTTAATAAGGTGTTGTTAAACTTAAGATTGACCATTTATTAATATGTGATTTTCTATTAAAATCAGCTTGAACTTCTTTAAAAAATAAACTTTTAATGTCAAGAAGAATAAAAAAAATTTTGCTAACAAAGTTGCAGCTATGCAAAATTTTATGTTAATAATTTTTTCCAATTTGAAATTGTAATGAGACTTAAAAA